GACGACAATAAATGTGTTGGGTAGCTGCGTGCATCAGACGCGCAGAATAGTTTGCATTTGGATAAAATGCCGCTGCTTTCAAAATGCTTCCATGAAATCGATAAAAAATCGATTATTAGGAATTATTGAACAAAGTGTTTAGCTTGCAAAATTGGACCAACAGACTCTAAAAGTCGAAAGGCTTGCTCTAGTTTTGCCATTTGCTGATTTCTAGTTTCTGATAGCTTTCCGTATTTTCACAATCGATAAATCGATAAATATCGAGAGTTATGAAAAAGTATATAGTTCGCTTCATATTGAATTGAAAAGACTTTGCATGCTGTGCTTAGGCTCCGGCTTAACATTTGCATCAAACGTTTGTTTTGCATTCGATAACTTCTCATATTTCTTGATATCGATTTTGAGATCGATAATTATTGATTTGCAGATTTGCAGTTAAAGACGTTCAACTTTTTATGGAGATGCTTTTCTAGTTTGTAGAGCTCAAGAATATCTCCCCTTTTTGACAAAAAGTTGAAGCCATGCGTGTGTGTGTGTGTGTGTGTGTGTGTGTGTGACGATTGCTCGAAGCTGGCTACAGGGTATCTGCTGGTCGTTCAGCGCTCGCTTTCGTGTTGTTGTTGTTGTTGTGGCTGCTGCTTGTGAAGTGTTTGCTTTTTGGACAATTTGTTTTTGAAGCTCTTGTTGTTGTTGTCGTTGTTGTTGTTGTTGCAACAACAATGCTTAACCGTTATTTGGGATTCTGGCCGGGATTTGTGTGCGTCTTGAAATATTCAAGTGTTTGTTGTTTCTGTTTATTTTGTTGTTGTTTATTTATTATTTTTTTGGTGGCCAACAACAATTCAATGTCTTTGTATGGCCAAAAGGCGCAAATTAGCAGCCAAATTGGCAGCAGTGGGCGTGGCAGCATGTGTGTGTGTGTGCATGTGTGTGTGTGTGTGTGTGTGTGCATGTGTGTGTGTGTAGGCATATTGTTGACCAGTGCGTGACTTCGTGGGCTCGCCTTGTTGCAGTTGCAAGTTGCAAGTTGCAACTGTTGCTGCCGCTGCCGCTGTCGCTGCGCGCTGCCGCTGCCGCTGTCGCTGTCGCTGCCGCTGCCGCTGCCGCCGCTGCTTTTGGGTCAAGTAAAAGGCATTTGCGACTGCATTTTGGTTTTCAGTTCGTTTTTGGCAATTGTCATTTGGTTTTCGTTTTAGGGCGTGGCAGCGGCTGACTCATGCCCCCTTCTGGGAGGGGGTTTTGGGGGGGGGGGGGGGGTTGCTCGGGCTGGCTGTTGCCATGGCCATAAGCAGCACCACAAGCCGTGTCCAAATCAAATCAAATAAAACCAATCAAAGGCAGACCCAAAGCCAATGCCAAGCAAGTTAGAACGGCTGTAGCCGACTGCGACATGCCCTGTAATCGGTTGGGTCACAAGGCAAAGCAAAAAACAGAACAGAGCTGGAACCGGTTCGTGAACCATGAAGAGTCCGTCTATCAGTTTCAATTTGTGCTTTCCGTTATAACCAATATACCCCCTTTGCACTGTGCGAAGAGTGTAGGAAAAAAAAAAGGTTCCCAATTTGTCCTATCGCTGCCGGCGGAAGTAATTACAAAAACGGCCAAATTGCAAGCACAATTTAATTGTTGTCGTCGTCGTTGTTGTCGTTGTTGTTGTTGTTGTTGTGTCGGTCTGACGTCATGCGCATATTGATGGAAGATCAATGTTCCAATGATTCCAACGTTCCAGCCGGCGCGCAGCCCAAATCAATCGAGCGCTCAGCGCGAATATCAACACAAAAGGCAACAACAACAACAACAACAACAACTACGACAACAACGGCAAATGCCAAAAGCTCACAAATTGATTGTTAAAGCGTATTTATCGATTCAAGAATCGTTTCGCACACCAAACAAAAGCCAAAAGCAACAATAAATAAATTGTAAATTAAAACACAACAGCAACAACAACAGCAAAGGCTGTGAGAACTTCTGAGAGAGCGCCTAACGCAGAGAGAGAGAGCAAGCAGCAGCAGGTGCTGTGCGATTTAGTTTGCATTGCTGAAAAGAGAAGGAATGGTCGGAGGGGGGGGAGGGAGGTTGTGGTGCAGCTGGTTGAGAGCAAAGCGCAGGCGACAGACAATTTACAGTTGGTCAGTACGGCGCAGCTTAACCCTTAAGTGCGCAGTTTTTTCTCCCTTGTTTTTGGGCAATTTATTTTCTACATCTATAATCTTTTTGCTGCAGGAATTTGGTGGAAACAAAAACAGTTAAGGCGCAAGAAGAAGAAGTTAAGAAATGCGTTAAGGAAAAGTGGGCAAAATCGAAACAGCGCACTCGAGGGTTAACATTAAGTGCGACTAGGCGGGCAAGTGTTGGGAAACGGAAAAGGGGAAAGGGCGCAAAGTGCAAGGCTGCCGATAGTCCAGTGTGTTGCCATATCAATTAAACTATTATTTTTTGGTATTTTTTTAATTGATGACACTTGCAGCACATCTGGCAGCGCTTCACATTTGGCGATGACAATTTAGCAACTCGATTATATGAAAGTGTATCGATAGGTTTGTGAAAAGTGAAATGCTTTGAACCAAAACTGCGGCCTCTCGGGCAGCGTGTTTGTGTACACCCAGAAAAAACGTAGAGCAATGTTTTTTACACCTACACAGGTATATATGCAAATATATACATGCTTATATAGAGCTTCAGCTGGGCGACAGTTTTGTAGCTTATAACTTTCCTGGAAACTGGAATATTCTTTTCTTGTATTTCTTATGGGCAACATAAAAGCAGACGTCTGCGACTCCATAAAGTATATATAGTATATACATATATATTCCGTCAAGTTGATATAGTCATATCCATCCGAATCTCTGTCTCTGTGTCTCTCAGTTTTAAAGCTATTCGCATTATCAGTTCGAATCACTTTAACATATAGCTGCCATAGGAATGATCGGTGGAAAAATGAGTTTTTGTGTATGGACAACTTTTCTATTGCTCAAGATGTCTTGATTTATTCGAAAATTTCGTAACTTCGCTCCCCTCTATATATACATATATATATATATAGTACATATATATGTACATATATACAGTTATTTAGCTTGAGAGTTTTTTCTTTTTTGTTTATTACACAAAGTTCGTCGCGAACCTTTCCAAACTAACATTATCTGCATTATGCATGCTCTTACTCTTCTTCTTCTGCTTACGTACTTAAAACTAGGAGGGGGTGGGGGAGTATCATAAAGTCACTCACAATTGCCCCCCCCCCCCTCCCCTCCTCTCTTGTGTGGGGGCATTTGGGGCATTTGGACAAAGGGTCCAACATGTTTTGTGACCTTTGGCCGCATTTGAGCGCATTTTGCGATTTCAGTTTCTCAGCTTCTCTCGGTTTCTCTCGGTTGCTTTCCATTTCAGCGCCTTGAACTGTGCACGTTGCCCTTTTGCAACAACTCGAGCAACCTTTTCTGGCCATGCATTTGGTTGTGCAATAATAAACCCCACTGACCAAAAACTTAGATCTCGTCTGCCCTTCTCCTCCTTCTCCTCCTCCTGCTCCGCGCCCGCTCCGCGCCCGCTCCGCTCCGGCAGCTTTGCTCAGCTGTGCTTTTTTTTTTTTATGGGCTCTTAACTTTATGAGCCGCTGCTTGGCTGCGACAGGCAGGGGGGAGGGGGGGGTGTCTGTGTTGTGGCTGCAACGGGAAGAACCGTTTTGTTCTAAGCCTTTACGCTTGGCATGTTCTCCCCCCCCCCCCCCCCCTCTGCCCCCTTCACACAGCAACGCCTGTCTTCTTCACTTGGCCAGTTTTGTTAGGGTTTTTGTTAGAAATCGCAATTTGATTTAAATACCCTGTAATCAAGGGGCATGCAGACAAGCGGGTATATTGCAAGCAGGAAGAAGGAGGCTTTATCGACTCCATAACGTATAAGACTGCACTGATTGATTGATTGATTGACCGACTGATGCTGATTGACGGATTGATTGCTTAACTCACTTACTGATTGATCGACTGACTGACCGACTGACCGACTGACTGACAGACTGACCGATTATGTGACTGATTGATGGACTTGTTTTACTGATTACCTGATTGATTGACTGACTGATGGAGCTTTTATTAATCGAATTGACTGATGAACTTATGGACCGACCGATTGTTTGACTGATTGACAGACTGGTTGATTGATCGACGGATTGTTTTACTGATTACGTGATTGATCAACTGACTGATTGTTTTACTGAACACCTGATTGATCGACTTACTGAACCGATTGTTTGATTAGATTAACGAACTGATGGACTGACCGATCGTGTGACTGATTGACGGACTCTCTGACTTATTGAGTGCTTGACTGAATGCTTAATTGACTAGCTGATTAATCGAGTTACTGACTGGCTAATTGACCGACTGACTGACTGATTGACCGTTTGTTTGTTTGACTGACTGATGGACCTACCGATTGATTGACTGACTGACTGACTGACTGACTGACTGACTGACTGGTTGGCTTATTGACATACTCCCTAATTGTTAAACTGACTAACGGTTTGAGCGATTGACTGACTGATTGAACGCCTGATTGATTGATGGACAATGCACAGCCTGACCCAAGCTACCATAACGCTTGAAAATATGGAAAATACGAGTTATCTTAGAGTAAAGTCTTGATTGTGTGTGCCTAGGGCAAGCAGAGGGTTAATGCAGGCAGCTTGTGCTGCTCGAGTATAGGTTACAACTGCTTGAAGCCAGCTACAGGGTAACTGCAAGCACAGCACACTCGACTCGACAGTCAAAGTCGCCGTCAACAACAAACATTTCACTTGCAGCTGAATAGAGAGCGAATGAAAGAAAACACGACGGAAAACAAAAGCTGTAAAACAAATCAACAACAAATTTGCTCGTTTTTTTTTTTGCGATTTTTTTTTTTTCGGGGTGCTGGATCGCACGGATTGCGGTCGCGTGTCGCGTGTCGCGCGCTGAAATGTTTTGTGCGGCACATGAAATTCAAATTGCTGGCAGCGAAAGTGCAAAATTAATTAGTCAGCAGCAGCAGCAGCTGGAGAAGGAGCTGGCAGCAGGGCAGGAGAAGGAGCTGAAGAAGGAGCTGGAGCAGGAGCAGGAGCTGGGCAACCGGCATTCGATGCAGTCAACGCCCCAAAAATTGAACGCCGCCAAATGAACGAATGGTGGTGATCCTTCTACTAGCGCCATGCACATGCAGCCAAAGCAGCAGCAGCAGCAGCAACAACAACAACAACAAGAGCAACAACAACAACAAGAGCTCCTCGCCGGGCAGCAGCAGCAGGAGCAGGAGCAGCAGCAATGGCAATCGCTCCTCATCGGCATCCACCGGCATTACGGCCATTCCAGCCAGCTTGTATCGCCAGCCCGCCGCCGCCGCCCCCCCTCCTCCTCATCATCCACCTTCGCAGCATCGCTGGCCTAGTCATAGTCATAGCTACCAGCCGTCAAAGCCACTGCCAGCGGCCGCCAATGCTGTGCCAAAGCCGCCGCGCAGTTATCTACATGGCCACGCCCCTGGCTATGGACACGCCCCTGCGCCGCTGGTCTTTCGCATCTACGCGCAGGCACAGCCTCAGCCACAGCCTCAGCCACAGCCACATCCTCGGGCACAGCCTCAGCCACAGCCACTGCCTCAGCCACCTGCCCGCTTTACTAACAAGAATAACAAACAAATTAGAAAGAATTCGAGTGCGGACTATGTGCGTCACGTGACCCGCGTTAATTTCTACGACGTTGATACTTCGCAGGTCGAATTCGAGCCCAAAGATGATGACGAGAGCAACGAGGCAATTGCGAACGATTGCGATACAGAAGCTTTAACCAAAGAAGGTGAGTCCAAGAGATAATAGAATAAGATGAAGATAAAAGTACATATAAGACTAAATAATGTTAATATGAATATGAGAAGATAGAGATACAAGTTGAAAGATAGGATTAGGTTATTTCCCAGGCTTAGGACAGAGAGAGGTGGCATAATATATGTTAAGATAAATATAAAGAGATATAGAAGATAAAGATAAAAGTTTAGATTGGGGTAGGTTAAGGGAATTCCTTGGGTAGTCCACGCACAAAGACAAAGATAACGAAAAAGATAAAGATAAAGATAAAGATAAAGATAAAGATATAAAGATATAAAGATATAAAGATATAAAGATATAAAGATATAAAGATATAAAGATATAAAGATATAAAGATATAAAGATATAAAGATATAAAGATATAAAGATATAAAGATATAAAGATATAAAGATATAAAGATATAAAGATATAAAGATATAAAGATATAAAGATATAAAGATATAAAGATATAAAGATATAAAGATATAAAGATATAAAGATATAAAGATATAAAGATATAAAGATATAAAGATATAAAGATATAAAGATATAAAGATATAAAGATATAAAGATATAAAGATATAAAGATATAAAGATATAAAGATATAAAGATATAAAGATATAAAGATATAAAGATATAAAGATATAAAGATATAAAGATATAAAGATATAAAGATATAAAGATATAAAGATATAAAGATATAAAGATATAAAGATATAAAGATATAAAGATATAAAGATATAAAGATATAAAGATATAAAGATATAAAGATATTAAGATAAAGATAAAGGAATTCCTTGGGTATTCTATAGATAACGATAGAAGGAAGGAATAATGTGGTGGGGAATCATGGCATAGGGATTCCATCCAGGCTGAAAGGGTCTATAAATTGATGGGGAATTACTTTTATTCTTAGCTCCGCATTTCCCAAGTGGAATGTTGGAATTATATGTGAAGCATGAAAGATTCCGTTGGTTGGAATAATATGTCTATGTTATAGGGAATAGGCAAAGTTAATTTGTGAAGAGAAGCTTTGAGAGCGAGAAGATTCAGGTTTGGACCGTCGATATAGTATAGAGAGATAAACTTATATGGAAATACTAAGAGACGCGCTAGATATTCAACCTTAATGATTATTCCAAGATGTTGCCATAGCAAAGTTGTATGGAGGCAAACCTGATTTATGAACGGAGATAAGCTTGGGACTAGTAAGAAAAGCTTCTCCCTGCACCCAAAACAATTACTCATTGAACAATTTGGATGCCAAGTTATGATTATGATAATTAACCAAGACGTAAATAATTCGTCATTTATTGTTTACAATGCGATTGCATCAGAATGGGCTGTGCCCCGCGCTGATTCTGATTCATGCACATTACGTATACGACTCGTATATCGATCCCCCTCCCCCTCCCCCTTCCCCCTCTCTCTTTGTCACTTGCTGCTTGTGAATTGTTCCCTTTCGCTGTGCATAATTTTGATCACAGTTTTTGCCCCGTGGCAATCCCGCTTTTTTTTTTTTTATCGTGCTGTTGCGGAAATCATAGAAAGTTTGATTTAATTATGTGATTAACATAGCACAAAGGCGCCTTTGGCTGCGGCAGCAGCAGCTACTTGTAACATTGTGAAAAAGTGTAAAAATTAGAAATAACAAGCAGCTACAAGCAACAAGCAACAAGCAACAAGCAACAAACAACAACAATGGCAAAATGGTAATGCAAAAGAAAATGTTTCAAGCACAAATTTCCCACGTTAGCAAATCATTAAAAATCAACAACAACAGCAACAACAACAACAGCAACAGTAATAACTGAAATAGGTGCACAATTTTGTTGTTGTTGCCTTTGCTGTTGGGGGTCTCTTTGCATATGTGCAGAAATTTAATAATTGCGGCTCACAGCTTGTTATGCCGCAACTCTACACAGCGTGCGCTGCATAAATCTGCATACTCTCCCCACACAAGCTGTACAAGCTATCACAAACCAAACTCTACACAGCTGGTAAAAAAAGATTCACAAGTTGTTAAGCTCTAAGCTATCACAAACTGAACTCTACACAGCTGGTAAAAAAAGATTCACAAGTTGTTAAGCTCTAAGCTATCACAAACTGAACTCTACACAGCTGGTAAAAAAAGATTCACAAGTTACTTAGCTCTAAGCGATCACAAACTAAACTCTACACAGCTGGCTAAAAAAGATTCACAAGTTATTTAGCTCTAAGCTATCACAAACTAAACTCTACACAGCTGGTAAAAAAAGATTCACAAGTTATTAAGCTCTAAGCTATCACAAACTGAATTCTACACAGCTGGTAAAAAAAGACTCACAAGTTTTTTAGCGCTTAGCACGTTGTTCGCAAGCTCTACATGCGCATCAACAGAACTCTACACGACTTGGAATGCATGATTCGCGAGGTCTTCAGCTTCAAATAAAAAATTCTACACAGCTTTATATATATACGATTGAATGTATGCGTAAACAAAACTCTACACAAAATTCTACACAAATGTAAATAAATTTTAGTGGTTATGCAACTCTACACAACTGTTAGCATGCGTGTCCACAAGAATACAGCCTTAAACAATACTCTACAAAATGTATATACATGATTTGCGATCTCTACAGCTCTAAACACGAAATTCTACACAATTCTTTAAATACGATTAACTGGTTGCACAACTCTACATAGTTCCCAGCACATGTCTTGCTAATTCCACATGAATATATACATTACCAAAACTCTACACAGCTCGATATGCTTATTCTAGTGCTCTTCAGACCTAAACATAAGATTCTACACAACTCGGATTATAAGTTTTGCTGGTCTTACAACTCTACAGAACTGTAAGCATGTGCTTGGCAAATTCCTAATGAATATATGCATAAACAAAAGTCTACACAATTTGACATGCTTGATTATCTTGTTCTACAGCCCTTAACACAATATTCTACACAGCTCTGTGTATACATTTTATGCACGTGGTGCCATATGAATAAATGCTTAAGCATCATATGAATCCATGCAAAGCGAAAACTCTACACACCTGTAAATACATGATTCGCAAACTCTACAGCTCTAAGCAAAATTATATAGGTGATACAAAACTCTATATGCAAGTGAGTCTTGGCGAATTCTTTAAATCAAAAAAAGTCTCCATTGTTCAACTCTACATACCTGATTTGCAAGCTATACAGCTCTGTTGAAAAAGATTTATGTAATATACAATTCTACAGGCAAGCGAGTTTTGGAGAGTTTCTTAACTCAAAATAAAATGTCTACATTGTTCTTTATATATAAACAGAACACTACAAATCTATATAAACATGATAATATACAACTCTACAGGCAAGCGAGATTATGAACTTCCACAATGTTTTCTATACAAGATTCAAAAACAAAAAAAGTCTACACTATATGATAGTGCAAAAACACAAGTCTACACAACTTGGCATAGAATATTTAAAAGCTATAATATATTTATCCAAAACATATCTCTACACAACTGTATAAATGCAAGCTCTTCATGCAAGACGCGCTTTAATTCGAACAAGTCTCCACATGCAAATGCAACTCTACACACATGAATAACAATCTTTACAGAAGAGTCTACAAACTCTACAGCTCACATATAAGTTGATTATTCTTAACACAAGTCTACGCATAAATCTCCACCCATCAAGAATCTCTACACCGCGCTATTGTCGAAAATCTTTATTTTGGGAAATATTCGGTTTTGGGATCTTGCAATTAGATGGAAAAGATTTGCATAAGTTGCAGCAGGCGAAAGGAGGTCGTCGTTCAATAAGCAGGGTGGACAAACAAAAGAACTAAGCATGGTGGGTGAGGGGTTAGGGGCTGGCGGGGGGGGGGGGGGCGGTGCGGTTGAGCAAGTCAAAGAGTTGGTTGACAGCGGTTGGAAGAGGCTGCTGCCTAGCCACTTAGCGTGGCCATAATTGATACCACAATTAGCCCACAATGAGTGGGGCGCATATGCAACAAGATGTAATGAAATATGCGGCCCAGAGGAGGCGGGGGCGGGGGCGGGGGGCGGCTGCGGCCCAGAGAGGGGCGTGGCAACATGGCATAAATAACGATTACATGTCATCGAGAGCGGGGACTGCGCAATATCGATCGCAAGCCGATCGAACGAAACGCGAAACAATGCAAAACTCAAAAACTATGTAAGAGCGTGCGCGTGGAGAGTGCACGACCGACAGTTACCCTGTAGGCAGACGTTAAATTTCACTTGTGCAAAGAAACACGTTCTTCTTGCTCTCTCTTTTTAGTGGGGATGTATCTATTAGTCGAGAACTATTTTATTGATTGCTTGAACATGTTGTCGTTTTCGAGGATCTATCGATAAATATCGATTTGCAGATTTGTTTTTTTCAAGCATAGCTCGAGAACTTTGAAAGCGACTTGAGACACGCAACTTGTTGCGTGGGTTCTTCTCTAGTCTAAAAAGAGTCTAAGAGTATATCAGGTTTTGCATATCTAATCATATTCCTCCGAAATTGGAAAAGAACTCATTTTATAAAGTAAAGTACGCACACATTTGAATGCCATGCTTATGCCATGAAAATTTCATAAAGATCGGACTGCAAGCACCGAAGCTAAATGGAGTATGGACTTACCCTAGTCTGGGGCTGAGGAGCGCCTAGTCTGTAGCAGCAGCTGCATTGCAGGGTATCTCTTAGTTGGGCTTAACTGGAAGCGATTAGAACCGTCGCATTGGTTCGGTTTAATCGAATTAGTTTTATGTGTTATCTCAGGGTATTTGCTAGTCATGCACACCCGACTAGAGCACACTTGCTTACATGTGCACAGCCTCATTATACCCTAGAATATGGGCAAAGCAACTAAATTTGAGATTTAGAGTGAATCAATACCCCCCCCGCCCCTCGCCTACCCCCTCCCCCACCTCTCAGGGTATCTGTTAGTCGTGCACACCCGACTAGAGCAGACTTGCTTACATGTGCACAGCCTTGTTATACCCTACAATATACATTTGCAATGGGCAAAACAGCTAAATTGAAGTTTGAGAGTGAATCGATACTTCCCCCTCCCCCTCGCAACCCCCTCCCCCCCTCCCCCCGCAATCCCTCCTCGTCTCGTGCTGTTTGTTTGTTTAATTGTTGTTGTTGGTATTTATGAATTGCTTGGCTGACTGTCTGGCAGTTCGCTTAGCTGATGCAATGCGGATATATATACTATATAAATGCCAGCCAGGCAGGGCAGGTAAAGGGAAGGGAGGGAGGGAGGGAGGAAGGGGGGGAGGGAGTGTACGATAATTTAAATAGCTTCGATCAAGCTGGGCCCAACTGACCGGAGCCGAAAGTTTGGAGCCAAGCAGCAGCTCCTCCTCCTCCCGAGCAGCAGCAAAAGCAACGTCAATTTTCCAGCTTCTGCGTTGCGGGATCTTGTTTCGGCGACGGCGACGCCAACTGCGACGGCGACTGCGACGCCGACTGCAAATGCAAACTGCAAACGGCAGATAAATTATATAAGCGACCTTTAATGGTCCAGCGATTTCTGCAGCAGCCGCAGCCGCAGCCGCCGTCGCAGTCACTCAAGAGCCAAACAATAAAAAGCAGACGAGAACAATTGAAGGCGGCCACAACGAAGCTCAAATACCCTTTATTTGGAATTATCAATTATTCCGCTTTGGTTTTATTATTTTCGGTGCACTTCAAGTAAACTCTGTCAGCAGATCTTTGAAACTAATTCGATTAAAGCGAACCGATGCGAGGGTTCTAATTGCTTCCAGCTTAGCCCAACTAAGAGATACCCTGCAATGCAGCTGCTGCTGGTAAATAATATGAGCTAGAGTCGCCAAACTTGACATGTAGCTTCTAGAATAGTATAAATGTATATCAAGTATCTTTCATTTTATACCTATCACCTGGAAGAAGAGGGTTCAGGGTATCCCCAAGTCGGTAGCTCCCGACTAGAACCTCTTACTTGTTTGTGATGATTTATCGTGTTTTCTAGCAACTCGATCAGCTGTTTATTTAAAGTAGCGCAACTTTTGCCACTCACATTTTATCGACAACCAATGGAATAGCAATATGTGAAATTGGAAAATGTGACATTTCCTAAGCATACTGAACAAAGGCTATAAATCGTGTCATCAAGAATATATATATACATGTACTTAATGCTTGCTTTAGGTCTGTTTGTGCTACATTTGCACACGTCAGGCATATCCCATAGACACCTGTTATCAATGGGTATGATGATTAAACCATTTGACAAAGCCTGTCAAAAGCTGACATAGATATATGTGTGTGTAAGTGTGTGTGTGTGTGTGTGTGTGTGTGTGTGTGTGTGTGTGTGTGTGTGTGTGTGTGTGTGTGTGTGTGTGTGACATATGTCATGCTTAAATCATAATGCCCTTGGTTAGGGTATATTTGTGCATGAAATAAACAAGTCAGCTTTTGTTTTCATTCAGTAAATCTTGGACACAGACATCGTCGGATGTCCGTGCTCAATGCTTTGCTCTGTGGCTCTGTTGGCGTCACAGGTTGCCACACACACACACACACACACTAACACACACACACACACCTTAGACACACTCATGGTACAGTTAGTCGGAGACCAAGTTGGACTTGGATTACGTAATTGGGCGAGCAGCTAAGCTAACCAAATGCGGCAGCCACTCAGCGAAGCGCTTCGTTATTTTTGTTGCCGCTTCTCCCTCTCCCGCTTCTTCCTCTCCCGCTGCTTCTTCTCCTCTATGGAAATGCATAAATACACTTTATCTGCATGCAAATCACGAGTCGCAAATGGTTTTTTTTTTAAGGCTTCGGCTAGGTGTTGCAATCAGAACATGCAACATGGCTGTGACTGGAGACGGGAGCAGGGGGGGCGGGGGCAACATGCTGAACACACAGGTTCATTCATTCGGAACTAGTTCGCCGTAATAGCGCTCATAAACTTATCTTAACGCCATTATTTATGCCCCTCGAGCCACGCCAATGCGTCGCTTAGCTCTTTTAGATATCAGGTAGGCTTTTTTTTTTCAATTTTTAATTAATTGATTATACTCTGAGGTACTTGGGATAGAAGCTCTTTCGGGCTTGAGCCCAGCTTTTTGTTGCTTTTGTTGTTGCGTTTGTCATTTTAAAACAAGTAAGAGGTTCTAGTCGGCAGCTCCCGACTAGGGGATACCCTGAGCCCTCTCCTTCCAACAGGCGATAGGTATAAAATGAACGATACTCGATATACATTTATACTATTCTAGAAGCTACATCTCAAGTTTGTTGACTCTAGCTCATATTATTTGTTATCGATTACTTGAAAACGGGCCGAGTTATCGAATATCGGAAACAAACTCGATCTGTGCGGGCACTAGGAGGACCTACAGTTAAAATTTCAAGTCTCTAGCTCTTATAGGTTTCGAGATCCTTGCGTTCATACAGTCGGACAGACAGACGGACGGACAGACAGACGGACGGACAGACAGACGGACATGGCTAGATCGACTCGGCTGTTGATGCTGATCAAGAATATCCTTCTGCCTGTTACATTCATTTGCACAAATACATTATAAAAAAGAGGAAAGTAAGGGTATCTATGGCACATCGAAGACTTTATACCCTTGCAGACATTTGCCTTGCGTTTTGCAGATATGTGAGAAGAGTGATGCTCGTAAAAAGAATTTTTTGTCAAACATCAACTCATTTGTCGACCGATTCTTTCCACATTTCTATGTAATAAAGTAGTGTAATATTGAAGAGACTTGCCTCATATGAAAGCAGCATAGTTATCATAGCTATATGATATCGCGGTCCGATCCGACCGCAAAATCTATTCAGCTTAGGAGAAATCGAGCGAAAAATGAGTTTCCTTTTTGTTTCACAAGATATATTCATATAAGAAGGGTATTTAAAGTGAGCATAGGAAGAATCGATTGAATATTGAGCTATTTTTTTCGTTTCACAAGATATCTTCGTCTTAGGGTATTTAAACTTCGGCGTGCCAAAGAATGCCGTTCATCATAGGAAGAATAATTCGAAGAATAAGTTTCTAAAGATTTCTTCAACTTAGTAGAGTATTTAAACTTCGACGTGCCGAATATAGGCTTACAGCTAGGCAAAAATCGATTGAATATTAAGTTATTTATTTCGTTTCTCAAATTATCTTCAACTTATAAGAGTATTTGGGCTTCGGCGTGCCATTGAGAGTCGTTCAGCATAGGAAGAATCGTTCGAAAAATGAAGTATTTTTTCAATTCTCAAGATAGCTGCATCTTAGAAGGGTATTCAAACTTCGGCTTGCCGAATAAAGCCGTTCAGCATGGGAAGAATAGTTCGAACAATACGTTCTCAAGATTCTACAGCTTAGTAGTGTATTTAAACTTCGACGTGCCATTGAGAGTCGTTTTTCGCTTGTTAACTTTTAATATAATAATATAATATATGTTTTAATTTATTTCTATTTACAATTTCTATAAATTTAATTAATATTATTTTATTGTGTTTAATGTTGATCAAATTTCGATCTAAAAAGCCTTCAACCACGTTCGAGCAGCGAGAGAGAGAGAGACAGAGAGGGAGAGAGAGAGGGAGAATTGCTCAAAAAGCGCTCTCAAAGAAAAATAACACGAGTTTGCGCTCGCTCTCTCTTCCGCTCTTTCTCTCTCTCTCTCGCTCTCCCTCTCGCTCTCCCTCTCGCTCTCTCTCTCTCTCTCTCTCTCAGCTGTAAAGCTGCGCAGCACGTTTTCGAAGCCCGCTTTTGAGCATAGCTTTAAGCAAGCTTTAAGCGAGCAGGCGAACGCTTTAAGCTGCCGCCGAAAAGTATGCAACGCAATTGAACGCAGCAGCTTTTTGTTTGTTTTTTTTTTTTTGATTTGCAGAGGAATGGATAACGAAGCGCAAAACGGAGCTAACGACAACAAGACAAATCGAGACGCGCGTAAAGCGGCAGGTGAAGCTGCAGGATGGCAAAGTGATCGAGGACTCTGGCCCGATTGTCTCCACCAACACCACCGAGGACACGGACAAACAGGAAACGGAAACAACCGAGGTGAGTGCCCCACATTGAAACCCAAGCCAAGCAGCCAAGTCCAACTCCACTCAATTGCGCGCATTACAGAAACGCGACCTGGGCCTGCCCGACGAACTGGATGGCAAGGCGCAGCTTATAGACGCCGCCGCGCTGCAGGCGGGCGCCGTCAACGAGACGCAGCTGGCCCAGCTGCAGGAGGCGTTCGGCATCGATGGCGGCAAGCTGGTGCGGCGCATGGTGCCGCGTCCCGTCGACGGGCTGGTGCGTCAGATCGACGACAAGCGCACCATTTCGCACGAGGAGATCAAGGACTATCAGGAGACGCAGGACGTCAAGCATTTGGGCGACTTTACCGACGAGGTGAGCAAATATCTTACAACTTTGCAGGCGGCGCTATGCGGCGCTCTCGTAATCCGAGACGGGCGCAACAAAACCCAAACCGCCAATTGGCATGCAAAATAACTGAAAATCAATTTGGCGTGAAAAAGAAAAGCAAAAAAAAATAGCAACTTAAAAACAAGTTAGCATGCTTCAGTTGACTGTTGCTCGTCGCCCAAATACCCTGTAGGAATTGGCCCAAAAGATGTGCACGGCATGCATGTAATATGGCGGAAGATAGGAACGCGATAAGGTGGCGATAAGTAGGCGATAAGTTGGCCATAAGTTGGCATTAAGTTGGCGATAGATTGGCGATAGGTTGGCGAAAAGTTGGCGATAAGTTGGCGATAAGTTGGCGATAAATAGGCGATAAGTAGGCGATAAGTTGCCGATAAGCTGGGGATAAATAGGCGATTAGTTGGCGATAAGTTGGCGATAGGTTGGCGATAAGTTGGCGATAAGTTGGCGATAAGTTGGCGATAAGCTGGGGATAAATAGGCGATAAGTTGGCGAAAAGTAGGTGATAGGTGCGCGATAAGTAGGCGATAAGTTGGCGATAAGTTGGCGATAAGTTGGCGATAAGTTGGTGATTAGTTGGCGAAAAGTAGGTGATAGGTGGGCGATAAATTGGCGATAAGTAGGCGATAAGTTGGCGATAAGTAGGCGATAAATTGGCGATAACTTGCCGATAAGTAGGCGATAAGTTGGCGATAAGTAGGCGATAAGTTGGCGATAAGTTGGCTAAAAGTAGGTGATAGGTGGGCGATAAGTTGGCGATAAGTAGGCGATAAGTTGGCGATAAGTAGGAAATGAGTGGGCGATAAGTTGGCGACACTCTCTGAGCATAAAAAATAATACCTATCACCTGGCTGATAAGAATGCGATACTTTCGTTAGTTCTCCCATATGGCAGGCAAAGTTGCTTTATTTTTAACGCATTTAAAGGTGAGACTTCTGGGGAGTTAGAAAATGTATCACCTGAAAGATAGAAAGACGTTGTCGTTCGCACTTTGAAGAGGAACTTCTGCGGCTTCAGAAAATGTATCGCCTGGAAGATAGAAAGTCATTTTCAAATTGACAGATAAACCTTTTTTTTTTGTGTTTTCTTGTTGTCTTTTTAATGCTATCGCCAAATGCTCGCTTCGACAGTTAAAAGGGCGAAACCCATCGTATTCTGGCTTTTAAAAAACAGCTCAACTAGCTAACGACTGTCTGAAGCATTAGAACTTTATATTATAAAGTGCAATTGCAATTTTTATACCCTGAACCCATTGAAAATGGCAACAAAAGGGTATTATGCATTTGTGCAAATGTATGTAACAGGCAGAAGGAAGCATCTCCGACCCCATAAAGTATATATATTCTTGATCAGCATCAACAGCCAAGTCGATCTAGCCATGTCTGTCTGTCTGTCCGTCCGTCTGTCTGTCCGACTGTATGAACGCAAGGATCTCAGAACCTATAAGAGCTAGAGACTAGGTTCTCCTAGTCCTCGCACAGATCGAGTTTGTTTCCGATATTCGATAATTTGCCCCGTTTCCAAGTAATCGATAAAAATCGATATCGAAATTCTGTTTTTTGAGCAATTTCGGCAAATAATATGAGCTAGAGTCGCCAAACTTGACATGTAGCTTCTAGAATAGTATATATATATATATACTATATATAATATATATAGTATATATATATATTCAGGGTATCCCCTAGTCGAGAGCTCCCGACTAGAACCTCTTACTTGTTTTTTTTTTTGGTGATGTCTGCTCAACTTGAATGAATGAAAATCGAAATATTTCTCAATTTGTCCCTAGAATTTATGCTCAGGCTGTTGATACCCCTTTGCTGGCATTCAGCGCATGCAGGGTATACGCAAAGGTAACAATGCCGCTGGCCAGTAGCCAGCAGCAAGCAGCCGCAGTCGCAGCAACCAGCAACCAGTTGTTGTTGTTGCTGTTGCTGCTGCTTTAAAGCTCATTCGAAAGTTAAAGGGGAGTTGTTGTTGTTGCTGTTGTTGTTGCTGTGGTTGCTGCTGTTGTTGCTGCCGCAACAAGCTGCCTGCTGCATCCGAAGCTGTTGCTGTTGCCGCTTTCAGTCGCCGCCGAGCGAGCGCCGAGAGCAGACAACGACTCGTAGCACGCCGAACGCGTCGCGCCTCAGCGAACCAGCGCGATTTATACACTTTAATCTTGATCTTAAGTTTTAGTTTTAGTTTAGCTTTCGTCTCTCGCTCGCCCGCTCTCGAACCCTTTGTGGCTGTGTTTCTTCCCTTTTTTTTTTTGTTATTTTTTGTTGTTTGTATTTTGTCCGCGTCCGCACGCCTGTGATTTAGTTAATAATCGCGCTCATGCCCCGCTTAGTTTTAGTTTCGGTCTCGTAATTAACTAAAGACTCGAGTGGCAAAGACAAAGCGAGAGAGAGAGAGAGAGAGAGAGAGAGAAAATTAAAAACAAATTAAAAATCAAAACAACACACAAAAAAAACTACATTTGCTTTTGTGCGTGGGGCGCTAAACGATTGGCCAACGGCAGCGCACAATTTGGCTAATTAAACCAGGTGCGAATATGTCTATGTTATGTGTATTATGTGAAACATTTCATAAGTTGGCAAAACAACAAAGCGGAAAGAAAATATACAAAGAGATGCATAAAAGTGCAAAAAAAAAAAAAAAAGGTTGCACAGAAACGAAAGACTTGGGCAGCAAACTTGATTGCAGGTACTCAATGCAGCCGTGTGTGTGCGTGTGAGTGTGTGTGAGTGTGTGTGTGTGTGTGTGAGTGTGTGTGTGTGTGTGTGGTATAAGCTACAGCAACTGCATTTGAAAGTTCTATATAATCCAGTTCCCTTAACTAGCCAAAGACTTAGGCAACAAACTTGACTTAAGGCGGTTTATATATGCATATGAGCTCATGTGTGTGTGCGTGTGTGTGTGTGTGTGTTTGCGTGAGCGAGTGTAGCTACTGCAATTCCATTTAAAAGTTCTACGATATCCATTTCAAAAGTAATCCCAACAAAAATAGATGCTAAATGAAAGACTTAGGCAACAAACTTGACTTAAGCCCATGCCTATATGCATATGGATTTATGTGCGTGCGAGTTTTAGCTACTGTAGCTCCATTTGAAAGTTATTTGAAATCCATTTCCATAGATATTGAACTAAACGAAAGACTTAGGCAACAAACTTGACTGGGGGTCATTTATAAGTGCAGACAATAGCTGCGAGTTCTTGACTACATTTCAATTTTCTATGCCAGCGCTAGCATTGGCTGGCCCAAACAAAAGACTTAGGCAACAAACTTGACCAGGGTCTACCCATAACGTTAGCTATATGCGTATATAGACATATATACATATGTGTGCTTGGCTTAGCTAACAGCTCCTGCAACTCCTTTCGAACGTTCTATGAAAAGACTCAGACAACTAACTTGACTAGTAGTTGAACAAAAAGAATTACCATCTGTTAAAATTCATAGAATGCCAACAAGCGAAACGAAGGACTTAGGCAGCGAACTTGGCGAAGAGCTATTTATAAATGAGCAACAGCTTCCATTTCTGAGCGCCATTTCGATTTAAATGGGAAGGCCAAAACAAAGCTGGCCCAACTAAAGACTTAGGCAACGAACTCGATTTAAAGTTAGTAATTGGAGTGGGAGTGTGTGCGTGTGTGTGTGTGTGTGTGTGTGTGTGTGTGTGTGTGTGTGTGTGTGTGTGTGTGTGTGTGTGTGTGTGTGTGTGTGTGTGTGTGTGTGTGTGCGCGTGTGTGTGTGTAGCAGCACTTGCAACAACAGACTTCGATGTGAAACATTTCATAAAATTCACTAAAAATAATTATAACCAAACGAAAGACTTAGGCAACGAACCTGATTATAGAATTATTGTATACATATAGGAAATGTGTGTTCTTGTGTGTTTGTGTGTGTGTGTGTGTGTGTGTGGTTCTGGCAGCGAAGGTTCTAAACAAAAGTTGCTTGCAACAAACGAAAGACTTAGGCAACAAACTTGACCACAAACTTCTATTTATATAAATGAGCAAACACTGTGCGAGTGTGTGTGTGTGTGTGTAGGGCAGCAGCTGCCAACTTCTAATTCCATTCAAAATTTAGTTCAAAAATTTGCTTGCAAATAACGAAAGACTTAGGCAACGAACTTGACAACAGATACTTTATATACAAATGTGTTTGTGCGAGCTAACAGCTTCTAGCTCCATTTGAAAGTTCTTGTCCGGCTACCCAATAATTGTGCGAAGATCTTAGAAGCTGCCCTATGTATTGCCCAACACCCCCCACCCCCCCTCCACCTCCCCCCGCTCCGAGCTGCCGGCGCAGCGCATTGGAGTAGAGTTGGGAGCATGTCTTTAAACCGGTAGTTGGCAATTACCCAGGCAGCAAAAGGTTGTGTACCACAGCAGATGATGTTGTACAAGGCATACACACACAGCTCTCTCACACACACACAGGCACACACAGGCACACACACAGGCACAGACACAGGCACACACAGCTGAAGACCTGTTCTGGAGCCCAGTTTAATCAATAGACTGCGGCTGCTCCTGCTTTGTCTGCGGTTCGAGTTAACTTGGCTTGGCTTGGCTTGGCTTGGCTTGGATTCTAGGCGTGTCTGCAGCAGGTCCATGAACCTAACTACACACCAATACACACACACACACACACACTCACACACGCACACGAAGTTGAAGCTGTGTGTTTTGTCTACAACATATTTGTTGGAATTTCGAATTTGAATTTTAAGTTTGAATTTTTTGTTATTTATGTGTACTTCTTGTGTGTGTATGTGTGTATGTGTGTGTGTGTGTGTGCGGGTACTTGTTGCCTGGGTAAACTTGTTTCTGCTTTGCGCCCATGTGCCCACATTGACTCGCCACTCTCGCACTCTAATCAGCGTATGCCAATCTCAGCCCAAAACTCCAGCTCTGACTCTGGGCTGTGTGTGTGTGTGTGTGTGTGTGTGTTTGTGTGTGTATTGGTCAGT